GCTGTTTTGCGCGACACATAAGGACCTACGTCGCGCAAAGTCAACGAAAAACGCGGTAAACCTTCTTGGTTTGGCGCCAAAAGTTTGGCGACGAATGACGGCGTCGCGCAAAGCAGTTTTGCGCGACATATGCCCACCTGCGTCGCGCAAAGCTGTTTTGCACAACTCTTTATTCGTCGCGCAAAGTACGTTTGCGCGACGTTTTGTGTTATACGTCGCGCAAACGGACTTTGCGCTACAAAATTTTCTTCGTCGCGCAAGATGCCGTCGTGCAAACATGTTTTTCTACTAGTGAATTGTTTCCTGCATAATATATTTTTCAGAAAGTAACTACGCAGTACACATCCAAAAACTAATGAAAATCTCAATTGACAAAGTTTTGATAATTTTTTCAACATTAAAAGGAAAAGTAATAGTAAAACAAGCACTAACTGTAGCAGGTTATTAATCTGCTTACCCACAAAAACGCTTGCATCGAAATTGCTTAGGCTTGCCGGTATAGGACCCTCGAGCCGATTGTATGACACATTCATAGTCTTCCATGCATTTGGATTTTGTGGAAAATTTGGTAGTTTCCCACTGAATTGGTTTCCCCGAATATCCATTTCCACAATCTTTGTCAATGCAGCCAGCGAGTTTGGTATTTTACCCATGAATTCATTCCCAACCAGATAAATTTTCTTCAAGGAATTCAGGCCAACAAAAAAATTATCTGGGATTTCACCATTGAATTGATTGTACGACAAGTAAACTGATGTAAGTGAAATAAGTTTGTTCACACTAGGGATAGGACCTTCAAAGCTATTGTTCATGAAGCTTACGGTTTTCAGGGCAGACAAATCCATAAGTGTGTCTATATCGATTATCCCCCGGAGACCCATGTTTGTTAAAGCCAACCCGAACACATTGCCGTCGCCATCACAAAGCAAACCTGCCCAGAGGTTGTGCGCACCTGCAGGGAGGTGTGGCGTTTGTCCAGTTGTCCAAAGCACTGTCGTTGGATAGAAACGACTTGAACTTGAGGAGGGTGGCTGGCTCGGTCGGATCTGAAGACGAAGCAACGTATGATAGGACTAAGAAAATTAGCATGAAAAGCCAGTGATGGTGATCATATGATGCTTTGTGAATATGTGCCATCATAAAAATTAGGTTTTTTTCGTTTGGAAGCTAGGGTTTGATAAAAGAAGAAGAAGAATGGAGGGATGGAAAATATGGGATTAGGTTAAGTGGATTTGATGACAGTAATAGAGTAGGGGAAGATGTAAAGGTAGAAATTAAAGATTTGGGGGTGCAAGAATGACAAGGTTCATTGTTCCCTATGAGGGATTATGAGCTGGGTTGAAAGCCAGCATTAATATTTTAATTAAAAGATTTGGATTTGATTTTCTTGGCAATACTAAACGGGTTAGTTTATTATTTGTCTTTAGCTTTGTGTGTGCTGTTGTTGAGTTTCTGTTTTGTTCTTGTTAATGGTGTTGGGGAAGTGTTTCATTGTAGGCTCAGCCGATCGGATTAGCAACGAGATCACTTTCACTAATTACTTCATTCCTTTAATTGTAATTTTGACCATTGTATTAGCCATCGACCGGAGTATTTTTTATTGTGTGACCAAATCATCATCCCGATTTAACATGGATTCTCACTAATTATTTGCGAAAATTTTAGTTCTTGTTCCTGGTATTGAACATAATTGATTTAAAGATTTGGATTGAAAGATAAAATATTAAATTTTAATATTAGTTAAAAAAATTTAATCATGATAACTGTTTATCACCAATTCAATGATTGTTTGCGTAACATTTTTCCGTTTCGATAATTATTTGTCATTCCTTTGTCAGTTTAGGACTATTATGGCTGTAATTAGTATAGGGCTGTTATGGTTGTGATATTTGTATAAATGTTGTACTGCTACACGTTTGGTGATTAAGAAACAATCATTTTCTACACGATATCAGAGTTGAGATAAAGATGATCTATATCCCATTCTCCCGTCTTTGTTTCCCTCTTCTGGTTTTAAACAACCTCTAGCCTCCATTGTTGTTCCATCTCTCTCTGGCATCGTCATTTTGGCCATCTATCTGATCACGTTCTACGCAAATTAGTTTCTCAACATGGGGCTCGTCTTTCTTTATCTTCCGATAAATGTAGCCAGTGTGCACTAGCTAAGTCAATTAGTCTTCCTTTTTTTGTCTCATGATCATAGTGCAAGTACTCCATTTGAATTAATACATTCCAATGTTTGGATGTCACCTATTCTGTCTATTTCTGGTTTTGCTATTACGTACGTTTTACTAATGGTTTTAGTGGTTACACTTGGATCTTTCCATTGCGACAAAAATATTAAATTTTCTCTCATTTCTCTCAATTTGTTGCTTATGTGGAAACCCTATTTTCCTTATCTCTTAAACAATTCTAAAGTGACGGGGGCAAAGAATTTGATAATTTGATGTTCAAGCAATTTTGTAACGCTAAGGGCATTTTACATCATTACTCTTGCCTACATACACCTCAACAAAATGACCTTGCTGAACACAAACACCGTCATATAGCTGATATAGGTCGCACTCTCCTCCTCACAGCTCAAGTCCCGCTCAATTTATGGCCTGAAGCCCTTTCTACCGCTGTTCATTTAATCAATCACCTTCCAACTTCTGTCATCCAATGGGTTTCTCCATTATTCAAATTATATGGCAAACATCCTGATTATTCCCTTCTCCGGACCTTTGGCTGTGCTTGATTTCCATACCTTGGATATTGTACAATTAATGAATTACAACCTCGTTCTTTAGCTTGTATTTTTGTAGGGTACAATGATCACTACCGAGGCTACCGGTGTCTCCATAATCCCTTTGGTCGACTCTACGCATCTCGTCATGTTGTGTCTCATAGGTACCATTTGGTACGTGGGACGGGACGGAACGCAGTGGAACGAGGCATTCCGTCCTATGTTTGGTGCGCGAAAAACAGTGGAACGCCCTGTTTCAGGGGACGAAATTTGGCTAAATTTTCGTTCCACCTCCACCCTTGGAACGACTTGTTCCGCATACATGGAACACAAAATTATGAAATTTTAAGACAAAAATGTTCTGAATTTTATGGGATAAACAGTTATCATGGGATTTCATTTTCTTTGTTTAAGTTCTGAATGTTTAAACCCTAAAATGTTTAAGCATATATGTAATATGTGTTCAAATATGAACAACTTTAAAAAAATAATAATAATAAAAAGTAAAATAAAACTGTCCCATTCCGTTCCGCACATAAACATTGTACCAAACAACAGACGAAACAGAGGTAAGTTGGTCATTTAATCGTTTGGTTTCGTGTTGTCATGCACTTACCAAACATAGAACGGAACAACCGTTCTGTTCTGTCCTGCGCATACCAAACATAACACAAAACATTCATCCCGTTCCGTACTGTCCCGTCCCGTATACTAAACGGTACCATAAGGACTCATTTCCGTGTGATGATGCTGCTTTTGCTACGCCCACCAGAATTTGCATTCGTTCTCGTTGGGTTTCCACGCCTTCACTCACACAGTGGACCTGCCCCACCACTTATAGTCACCAGCCCAAGTTTGGATCTCCATCCGAGTACTCCCATGTCCCCCACATCAGTTGTAACCGCTCCTCCCCACACCACTGCTCCTGCAGCCGAGTCCAATCTAGGAGCCGCACAAGCTGTTGCTGCCGAGATTGTTCCAGGCGCTGACCTTGCTGCTGCACCACCCACTCCAGAATCTACTTTTGTTGTCACTTATCCCCTTGTTGTCACCGAATCGGTTTTTGTGGCCGAGCCTACTCCTTCCTCCATCTCTAGTCGCACCAGTCCAATTCGTACGCGTTCTCGGTCTGGCATCTTCAAACCAAACCCCAAATATCAGTTAAACTTATATGTTCGCTATCTGATTCCTCTAGCTCTCATGGCCACAGTTGACACTGAAATGGAACCCATATGTTACACATAGGCGTCTAAATCTCCAAATTGGCAACAGGCCATGCTTGAAGAGTTCAATGCTCTTCTTCAACAGGGCACTTGGTCTCTTGTTCCTCCTTCTCCTCGACATAACACACTGGGATGCAATGGGTTTTCAAGGTAAAAAGGAGGTCTGATGGCTCCGTTAAAAGATACAAAGCACGTTTTGTTGCTAAAGGATTTCATCAACAACCTGGGGTTGATTATTTTGATACGTTCAGTCCTGTCGTCAAGCTGACCACTATTCAAATAGTTTTGAGTATTGTTGTTTCTTGTAGCTGGGTAATTCATCAGCTTGATGTAAAGAACGCAGTCTTGTACAGTTATCCTCAGGAGAAGTCTGTATGTGGCAGCCCCCTGGTTTCGCTGACTCGCTTCGTCCCAATCATGGTCGTTAGCTTCATAAGGCGATTTATGGTCTGAACAAGCCCCCCCCCCCCACCCCAGCGCGCACGCGCGGGGGGGTTCCGGTTCAGTTCCTTTCTTGTTCGTGTAGGTTTCTTACAAAGTCGATTTGATTCGTCAATATTTGTGTATCAGGATGGTGCTAATATAATGATTTTACTACTTTATGTTGATGACATTGTGCTTACGAGTAGTAATCCATCTCATATTTCAGCTTTTATCAACTCTCTTGTGTGGATTTGAAGTTAAAGATTTGGGACCTCTCAATTATTTTCTTGGCATTGAAGTGGCTCAGTTATCTGATTCTGTTTGCCTTACTCAAAATGAATATATTGTTGATCTCCTCAAGAAAAGTAATCATCTGGAATGCAAGCCGGTTTCGACTCCCATGGCCTCACGAACTTCTGCTTCACGCACTGATAAAAACAAAACACTATAAAGAGAATATTCATTGGAGGGAGGTATAAATGGGCCAAACAACAATTTTAGGAAAAAGATCTTTTAGATCTCTTTCCTTTTTTCTTTTTTTTTTTTTTTTCAATTCCCTAATATCGTAATCTTTTTTACTATAGATCGTATATACCTTTATTTATACCTTATTTATCTTCCCTAAGTGGATTACCTTGAGTCGCGCATACATTGCGTCAGGCTAAGACTATGTAACTAGTCAATGATGACCTTCCATGGATTCGCCTATATAAGCCGCAGCTAAGGTTGCAAAAATAAGAGCTTGAATACCGCTTGTAAATAATCCAAGGAACATGACAGGTATAGGAACTACTGAAGGTACTAAAGAAACAAGAACAACCACTACTAATTCATCAGCTAAAATATTTCCGAAAAGTCGAAAACTAAGCGATAAGGGTTTTGTGAAATCTTCTAAGATGTTAATGGGTAAAAGGATTGGAATACATCTCTTGCTGATCCTACGTCGTATCGTCAACTTGTGGGTGCTCTTCAATAACTCACAATTACTCGCCCCGACATAGCCTATGTGAATGTTTCTCAATTTATGAGTTCTCCCAGTGATACACACTTTGAGGTTGTGAAACACATTGTCCATTATCTAAAAGGCACCCTTGGTCAAGGTTTATTAATTACTTCGTCGCTTCACTTAGTCTTCCATTTTCATAGCTTACTCGGATGCTGATTGGGCAGGATGTCCACACACACGTTGATCAACTACCGGATACTGTATTTTTTTTTTTTTTTTTTTTTTTTTTTGCCCAATCTCATCTCCTGGAGTGCTAAGAGTTTCTCGATCCAGTATTGAGACTGAATATCGTGCTCTCACGTATGCTTGTGCTGATACTGTTTGGATTCAAGGTCTTTTACATGAACTTCAGTTCCCTCTCTCTCGGCCAATTGTCCTTAATTGTGACTATCTTACTGCCACTTACATGGCGGTCAATTCCGTTTTCATTCTTGAACCAAACGCATTGGAACCGATTATCATTTTGTTCAAGAACGAGTTGCAAATGGCAGTCATCGAGTCCAATTTATTCCTTTTACCCACCAACTCGCGGATGTTTTTACCAAAGGACTTCCCTCAGATCGATTTCATCGTCTAATTTTCAAACTTGTCTTCTCACCGACGTTAAGTTTGCGGGGGAGCGTTAGAGAGTTACAACCTTTATCACCAATGCAATGACTGTTTGTGTAATGGTTTTCCGTTTCGATTATTATTTGTCATTCCTATGTCATTAGTTCAGGATTATTATGGCTGTAATCAGTATAGGGCTGTTATGGTTGTAATATTTGTATAAATGTTGTACTGCTGCACGTTTGGTGATTAAGAAAGAATCATCTTCTACAATAACTAGTAATTCACCCTAAAGTTGGGCAAAGATTACTATCAAGTAATGATTTTTCACTCATATGCTGTGAAAGTCTGATATGGTACATTTTAAAACTATGATACATTTTATAATAAATATGGGTATATTATAGTTAAAAAAAAAAAAAAAAAGTCAAAAGTTTACATAAAATAGTGCTACTAAACTCAACTTTTCAGAAGGTTTGACTTTCGGGTACAATTTTCTATATATAATGCATCAAATTTGGTATCTATTGTATGCCAATTGTTGCAACTCTAAGGAGCTCTGTCAACTTCTGTTAACAAATTGTCACGTACATGGTACATGAAAGGGTTAGCCTGATGGATTTCGTACAAGAAATCAACCTAAGTGACAGATGTCCTCTACCTGGAACAATTGGCAAATTACATGAAACTACAGGGACGAAGTCCCGTAAGAGAAACTTTGTGTAAACTACATGGAAAAAACGTTTTTTAGTCCTTGTATTATAGCTTTTGCTGTTAGCTAGTTGCTCGTTTATTTTTTGGAGGATGAGTAGTAAGTTCATTGTTGGCTCAGCCGAGTTCATGAACATGTATATATGTACTCGGATACGTTTGGTTGTAGCATTTGATTTTTTGCCTCACCAATGCTTCTCTCTACATCTTCCTCCTGTGTGTTTTCGATATCGACAACCCTCATGTATATATTAATGTTCAATTAACTAGTATTTGTCCCATTTCATGAGGAAAATTTTGAAGATTTCAATATAATCGTCCTGTCTGTCTTTGAGCTCATCTGATTGGCACTGCTCTTCCACCTCCAGCATTGTTAACGTTGACATGTTGGTGTTGGAAGCTTCATTCGGCAAACCTCCAAGTTGTTCTTAAGACAAAACAACCACTTTGCTGAGCACCCACAGCACCAGAGAGAACTCAAATGCAAATAGTGTGTGAAGCAACCCCCGATCAAGCGCAAACCCATACAGCGTGATCCCTCCGTTGTTGTGACTCAAATACGCCACTGCACACACAAACGTACACCAAACTATACATAAGCATCCATATCACCATGTATCAGGTGAACTCGTGTGTTTTCACATGTTAAAGACACACGACTTTGCCTGATACGTGGGGTTAATTAACTTGAAAGTGACCACATATTCGGAGTTCATCATATGCCTTTGTCTTTTATTTAGTAAGTAGGTCTTGAATTTTCCTGGTTATCCTACAAAAATAACTGTACTACTATCAAGTTAAGGAATATAAACTTAGAAAGCAAGCATACTCACCCAGAGCTTGCCTGGTTTGAAATGAGGAAGGCTTCTGCGGAGGAACTGAAGTGGAAATGTCTGATGAATGTTCAGAGTCACTCTCTCCACAGCGTCCATTTGCCTCTGAGCTAATCTGCTGGCTTTTCCACTGCTGGTCTGATCCGGCAGACGGACAAGTCAAGAGCATGTGCCATCTTGTTGCAATTGCTACAACTCCTTGAGCTCTATGAGTAATTCTTGCTGCCTCCATTAGGCAACAAAACAAGCCACTAAGCTCGACTGCAGAACAAACCACAAGATCACCAGAGTTGAGGAAAGTCTTCTCCGTCTTGGATGCCAAAACGAGCAACAAGGCCCCGAATTGACTCACCGTGATGATAAACATGCATCCGATGATAAAGAAGCGGTACCTGTGGCTCGTGACCTTCAATTGCTTTCTTATCCTTACATGTTCCTGAAATTATATGAATTTTTTTATCAAATGTATACACAAAATATTGTGCGTTATTGATATTTAGTAATATTGTGAAAGTATTAATTAAATACCACAATGTGCCAGGTACTGTATAATGGTAAATATAGGGAATTTTATCGAAATTTCAAAGTATACCTGGAATATGATACTGGATTCGTATTCACGCCCCTCAAACAACTTGCAAAGCCTTTTGAATCGAAGTATTTGTAGCTCGCAAGTCAACCGGAACATAACACAAACCAGCAAGAACACCCCAGTCCTATAAACCCAAGAAGCCAAAACCAAAACAAGCATAATTGAGTTGACTGGGACGCTTGAGCTTATATGAGGCAGTGAGATATGGACAGTGGAGAAGAATATGATCTTGTGGGCAAGCTCAATGAAAAAGGACGGCAGTAGTATGCAAGCTAGGTACTTGAAGGCCTTATCGAGCTCACGAGTGTATCCGCGACGAACAAAGCCAGAGTCTTCTGTAAGACCGTCGAGGAAGAGGAGTTGCCTCAGTCCATATTTTCGGAAGAAGCCAGAAAGAGTAATGAACCCAATGGCGGCTAAGCTGGACTCGGGAAGTTGGACTAGCTTGTTGAATGAGATGGGGTCCCCAGATGGGAGTTTGAGAGAGAGGGAGGTGAGGATTGGGACTAGGGCTGTTAAGAAGATGAAGGTGAAGTAAGACAGGAATTTTCCGAAGCATGAGGAGTGGTCAAGTGCCCACCATTTTAGGCTGACTTTGAAGCTGCAGAGTTCATCTGAGGATTGGAGAAGTAAGGGAGCTGTGTTAGGTTCGTTTGAATTGTTGTTCGGGTGGCCGGGAGATGAAATTTGAGGGTGGCTGGTGCAGTGGACATTCATTTGATTGTTCATGGATTGGTTCTGTTAGTGCTGGAGAGTAAATGAATTAATGGAAGCAACAATGTTGGAAGGTTGAGAAAGATTTTGCTTGGCATTTGGGCAAGAGTAAGATGGTGTTTGTAACAAGGAGAGGGCCCTTTGTAATTGCAAGGTAGATGAAGCAATTCACATATACATACATTTCATGCTAATTTCCGCTTTTGGAAGATCAAAATTTTCTATTGCCAACTCACTTGAATGCCACTTGGACCACTCGTTCGCAGACACGCGCGACTGTTTCAAAAGTCTTAGTAGTGAGAGTGAACCTTTCAACATAAGAGTGGACATCAAACCAGACGATTCAATTCAAGATATAATGACCAGTTTAGTTGAGGTTGGACCATCAAAATAGAAACGATCCAAAACCCGAAGAAAACGAAAGTTGGAAAGTTGGAAAAGGAAAGGCAAAAGAGCTTGCCTTTTCTCGTGAGAGTCTCTCTACCACCCTGGCTTTCTTCACCTAGGGGTTTCAAGTGGAGTGAAGAGTACAGATGCTCCAGAGAGATTTTAGTAGCATTTTTATTTTCCATGTCATTTCATATTCATGTGTTGACATGTTATATATATATATATATATATATATTTGGTTCACTGAGAAACAAAACAATGTCATACATACATACTGACATATACATAGGGAGATTGAGCCACGCGCAAGCACTAACCGGATTCAAACTTAAGTGGCAGTTTGATTCGGTTTTGATAACCAAAGAGTTAAGGATCCCAAGAACCGAACCAAACCAAGTCCGAAATCTAGTGAGAGGTGTCCTTGCAACCCGCCACCCTAGCCTTTTTAATTTTCAATGTCATTTCATATTCGTTTCTTCAGTTGGCAATCACGGGTCCAAAGCCAGATACAAGTAATAGTTATTGCTTTCTAATGGTCTCAAACTTCCACACGTGAAGCTCCTGAGGAAGAAGCAAAATGAAGGGCAAGTCCTAAAACATTTGTGATAGCCCATGGTCATACAGCACTACTACAAATTGGTATTGTTGCCTAGAGGATTGTTCTCGACAGTCATCCACACGCGTACAAAGTGTATGATGGCGGTCGTCAACTGTTGATGTATTCAAAGCCTACAATGAGATCTATATGCATCAAAGGCTGACAATAACCGCGGGTAATCACCTGAGATTAATAATGTATCTAGGATGACAACTTGCCCTTGCCCTTTTGAAGAGAAAAAGTGGACTATAATGCGAAAAAGCCCGGGAACTACTCTCATTCATGGCTAAACTGGTGTTCCACACGCAAACAGCACAGTAATGAAGCTAACTCCAACGTTGCATCTACCATTAAAGACAAACTTTAACACCAAACTCTTAACATTTAAATATTCACATTCAGTTCAAAAGAAATTAAAAGTTAGGGAAAAACTATTCACATTCCTGGACAAGATGACGGAGCTGGTCGAGAGTCCTCACAATATCGCCAAGGCATGCAATGACCCGGTCCCCTTGGCACCTAACAAAATCAGTTTGGAGGTCCCCGGTGCTCTTCACGCCAGCAGCCTCATGATCAGGTTTCTCAGTAACGATAGCACGGATTAGTTCTGCACTTTCATGCAATTTCATAGCCGCAATTTTCTCTTGTTCTTCAATGCTGATTGCCTCCTCTTTTCTTTGACTATTTGTAAGTTTTTTCTTCACCCAGCTCTTCTGAGGCTGTTCTTCTGCCAGGCTCTTCGTAGGAATTGCTTTTAAACCGCTTCCCACAGGTTTTTCTTCTGCATGGGTTTCTTGAGGTTTTTCTTGAGCATGAGTTTCGCGAGGCTTTTCTCTCTTGCAGCTTCTCAATGAATTTTCTTTAGGACAGCTTTTCTGAGGTATTGATCGACGCTTTCTCCTCTTGGACTCTTGCATACAAGGCAATTAAAAGAAAAGAGCTGGTGAGAATTACTTACGCAAACAACCTGATTGTTAGCATTTTCACAACTTCAAGCACAAAAACAGTTAAACAATAACTACTTAATCATTTACTCACCCATTACTCAAAAGTTCAAGCGATTTATGCAGTTGTCCTATAAAAACTATCTAAGGAACTTTTCAGATTGCAAATTCAACCACCTTAAACTTTTAACGACATCACCCATTAACGTCTAGAAATAATACCAGGAGCAGCAGACTCAATTAATCAAGAATTTATTGAAACTTGAAATGGTATACACACTGTTATAGAGTAATCAATCTCACAAACAACAGAACTATTAAGTGGGTATGCACATGTCGTATGTCTCAACCAACCCTTGTTAATAAAACATTCATGCACATCAGCATTCCAACCTTATGAATCATGATTTAAGTATCAATTCGATTTTGGTGCGTAAATACACTGTTTAAGGAGTGAACTTACCCCTTCACCTACAAAATCATAGGCAAACAAAAAATAAATAAACTTTCCCGTTTTGTTTACTACTTAGATTTAACATATCTTGCATTTAACAACCAAGATTATGTTCTTCTCCAGATTTCAAAGCCCATAATCTCTTAATCATTTGTACGTTATTTTTTATTTAAGCGATATTGGGGGTGAGGGATTCAAACACAAGACATCGGGTGGAAGAGTAATAGTTCTTAACCACTTGAGCTACAAGCCCCTGCATATTGCATCTATCCGTTAGTAAGCGATTTGTGAGCGGGCAAAATAACACCATTCTATACAAAGGGCGCTCGATTGGACCCTCCCGTCATTAATAATTTTCCAAAGTAATGAGCTGATATAGAAGGCATACTTCACAATGTAAACATTCATTCGCAACCAATGATGCCAACACAAAATCTTCGGCACAAAATTAAACGAAAATGCGAAACCAAACACACAATTGCATTGTAATCATGCAATGCAGTATTACATATCAACACAGATTTCCATTTGGGGCTTGTGAACAAGCATACCTGGCTCGGAATCAAGTTCCTTCTCCGGCTCAGCCCCCGCCTCATCTTCGGGATCACTATCCGGATCTGTATCCGATTGGTTCCCCCTCACCCTTACAAGCTTATCAATCCCACTAAACAGCTCCTGATCAAAATTCTCCGGCAACCCATTCCGCTTCCTCCTCTCAATTCCCAAAACCCAGTACGAATCCGAAGCTCGGCACTTCGCCTCCCACTGCTTGATCCCCTTGTACTCGCCGAACAAAGCGTCCCACTTCCGGCGATACTGGTCCAATGTTCGCGACACGCCCAGGGCAAAGCAGTTCTGAGCTATGATCTTCCATTTCTGAAACGACGACAGCGCTTTCAGGCAGTCGGCCTCGACGGCGGCGACCTCGTTCACGAGGATGAGCTCGTCCGTCGGATTCCAGTCCGGGGCTACTTGGGAACGCGTGCTGCGCCGGTTGCCGGATGAACGGTGAGATCGGTCGAGCTGGGACGGGGTTTGTTCGGGTTTCATTTTCGAATTCTGCCTTCAAAATGTCATTTTTTCGGAAATTGGGCGGCGGTGAGTGTCGAATCGACTTACCCAGGAGTCCTTCCGGAGCGATCGGTGGCTCTGTTTAAAACCCTTAACCACACTGGTGTGGAGTTCATCTAAAGATTTTTCTTTTTTTTTCCAGTTTGGATTACCTTTTTTTTTTTAAAAAAAAAAAAATGGATTAACTTCAGGAGTCTCGTTACATTAGTCAAACGGTTGAGATTAAAATATGAAAAACACATTTATTTACAGAATTGTTATTGACATTCCAAAAATCTTATTTTGTACTTCAAATTTTTTATAATTGGAAAGAAAAATAAACAAGAATGTAGAATGAGATTTTTTAAATGCTAATAATAGATCCCTTTATTTATTCTTTGTGTTTAATATTCAATTTAAAGACGAGTGACCGGATATTTCCCCACCATTCGGTGATGAGTTGAACATTTCTGTTAAGTTCAATACGTGTTGAGTTCGTCTTTCTAATGTAAACCGACCAAGCTGTTGGAGTACGGAGGTATTGTGCAAGGTTTTTTTTTTTTTTTTTGGAAACTAGTATTGTGCAAGGTTTAGCTGTGGAGTAAACTATTATGATTGTTAAATTCATTCGACGAATCAGATTATAGAAAGTGAAAATCTACAAATGGGTTGAAAGTGACGTTGAAAATCCAAACACATTTCTTTTCACCTCTTTTTCTCCACCTGATTGTCTTTTGTTTCAGTACCTAGAGTTCAACACTAGCGTCGTACTTCTCTCCTCTCTCAAAATCCAATTCCTTTTTCTCCCATTTCTATAGATCTCTCTCATCTCCGGCTTCCATGTATCCATCTTGATTATGGCCGGACTTCATCGCAAATTTTGAAATGTTGGTGAAGTTGTTGGAGATCAAGAGCTCGATGCTGGTGAATATGACAAAACAACCGTCAGTTTAACATTAAAAACAGTCATTATGCACTTTTCTTTTTATATTTTTCACTTTGAACGTGCATGATCACATTTGTAAAGTGTTGATATCAATTTTTTTCTCTAAATAAAACGTTTTATACGTGTTTCTAATTGGTAACTTAACTACGACAAATGTAAAACGAGAGAGTCTCAATCAATGGCACTTGAATGTAATTGTAATGCTCTTCAATGATTTAGAATCTCATTTAATTAATTAATTAATTAAACGTGTGAAACGAGATAAAAATGAAACAATCGGCTGATAAAAGTTGACTTCCTGAATGGGTGGCCCTTGTGAGGATGAAAAGGCTGGCCGCCTAAATAGTAAATCCATTGGTCATGGTTAACATTTTAATTTTAATCAATTCATTGCTGTCCTTAGGCTGTCTTCAAGGGACAAGGATTGTCTGTGCTCCTACTTCGGGTGTCCTTTCATGCTTTTTTGTTTTATATGATCACGGTTAAGTCACGTTAATATTTTATATTATTTTTTTATAGAGATAATAAGACAAAAATAAATAGTAATATAAAATGTTAACGTGACTTAACCATAACCATACAAACAGGAGGACACAGAAGGGCAACGGAAGTGGGAAGGCAAACAATCTTTGTCCATCTTCAAGGGGATGGGAAAGGGAACTCAAAATTTGAGGGGTAGATTATCTCCTCTCTTATTCATGTATCCTTCTATCTTTTCATCTCATACTTTTCATTTTGTCTTTTGTTCTCTATAAAAAAAAAAAAAAAAAAATTATAAGATATTGAAGTGACTTAATCGTGATTGTTCAAATAGAAGGAGAGGGGATGGGAGGGAAAAAAGGGGGAGAGAATCCTACACCAAAAATTGAGCCCAAAACATCTCCAAGGAAGTACTTTGGGTTGGAAAAAAATGGAATTTTGTGTTTGTAGGTCGGAATTTGGGTCTGTTATCCCCCCC